GAAGAGAGAGAGAGGGAGGAAGAGAGAGAGAGGGAGGAAAAAAATATCAAGGGCTTACTGCTGTATATTGCTCTTGGAATATTTGCATCCAGTTGTGGACAGCACAATACAGAGACTCTAGAAAGAGTGCAGAGAAGAGCAACAAAGAGGATTAGGGGGCTGGAGGCTAAAACATACGAAGGACGGTTGCAGGAACTGGGTATGTCTAGTGAAGAGAAGGACCAGAGGAGACAGGATAGCAGTGATCCAATATTTGAGGGGCTGCCACAGAGAAGAGGGGGTCAAGCTATTCTCCAAAGCACCCACAGGCCAGACAAGGAATAATGGGTGGAAACTAATCAAGGAGAGAAATTAAGAAATTTCCTGACAGTTAGAACAATCAACCAGTGGAACAGAAATTGCCTCCAGAAGTTGTGAATGCCCCAACACTGGAAGTCTTTAAGATGTTGGAGAGCCATTTGTCTGAAACGGTAGAGGGTTTCCTGCCTGGGCAGGGGGTTGGACTAGAAGACCTCTCTGTATTCAAATATCTTTAGGCCAAAGTTGTAAGAGCATCACACAGCTGAAAGAAGCGTGACGGGGGTTATCTTCCCTAGGATGCCTTGTGTATTCTTTCGACAAAAATCTTTGGATATTGATTTACCTTGTGGTTGTCCCTGGTGGGGGTGGGGGTGGGGGGTCAGTGGTGGGCATCTGTATTTGGAGCAGTTAAAACCTTACTTCTCTCCTGCTACGAGACAATTGCTGAAGCAAAAGGAAAAGCTGCTGTTAGCCCTTAACACAACAGCCTTAATTGAGCCTGCCCATTTACGGTTATAAACCACGGCAGTCGTAAAGCAGGTCACCACGTGGCCAGGATTGTTTTAATGACATTCTTTTCGGTGGTTGTTAAGCGAACATGGTGGTGGTTGTTTGCTATGGGGGGTGCAATTGGCCCAAATTTTGTGCCATAAATTGCAATTTTTAAAAATTAATATCAGTCCTTCCTTTCTTATCTTGCCTTCCAACATATTTTCCAAATTCTATAAAAATGTAGGGGGAAAAAAAAAGCAATTTCTGGTCTGCCATGCTTAAAAAAAAAACGAAAGAGGTTTCAGGCCTTTAAAACAAGCCGGCCATTAAACCAAAAACTGCATTTCTGCTGCACCCTCTGATTAAATTGAATTAAATTAAAGATTAGGACGCACTTTGGTTTGGTTGAGTTGCTGAAATTCGGTGCCCGGAATAGCTATAGTTCATTTTTAAATGAAGGACTCATGGGCACCAGGTGGTGAAATGCTAATTTAGCTCCTGAAAGGCCGGAACAACTGGTCGGTTTCGTTCATCCTGGTTAAATTCACGATTTGACCATGGCAGTTATTAGAAATAATTTGCTTTTCCAGCTGCTCCTTGCGGTGCATAAAATGGTTTGCATTCACAACCGATAGGACTCCCAATAGGTGTCCTTTCTTTCTGCCTTTTAAGTCACAAACATCAGTAACATCAATCTATCAAGAATGTTTAGATNTTTTCTTTTCATGATGACAGTGGTGAGGCCCTGCCTCCCCCGACTGCACATCACTGGATAGAAACTAACCAGAGAGAGAAGCAACCTGGAACCATGGAGAAATTTCTTAACATTGAGAGCAATTAATCAGTGGAACTTGCCTCGAGAAGTTGTAAATGCTCCAACACTGGAAGTTTTAAAAAAGAGATTGGAGAGCCATTTGTCTGAAATGGTACAGGGTTGGACTAGAAGACCTCCCAGGTCCTTTCCATCTGTGTTATTTTTTTTTCAATTTGCTTTACCGGCGCTGTTTTTTTTTAATCCAAAGGTATTCTCTGGTTTATGCAAACTGTTCTTTGCAAATGGGACGAAGCAGATCTTTAAATTTTATTTCTGATATGGCATGCTCCTAGTTTGAGTGCTTCTCATTCCACAATGTGTAGATGTTTTGGAGAGATAATAACTTGTCCTAGAGCC